ATTATTATTATTATTATTGATTACCTTGTTCTTCCTTTACAACCAATATCAAGAATACTTTGCCTTGCACACCCATCAGGTCAAACATTTACCATATGCAGGTTACATTCTGGAAGTAAACGTACCCTAAAAGGGGCAGTAGTTTGTATTGATTTAAACTAAAATAATTCCAACATTTTCCTTCCACTATTTCATTTACTCACATAAATCCTGGTGGGTACTTCCTAACTGCTTCGTTAATAACCATTTCAAGGTATTGCATGTTATGGAGGGAGTCATAAGATGGAGATTCCTGCCAACAAAATTCATTTCCGAGAAATGTAACATCAAATTTTTCAGTTGCCACAATTAAGTTCAAGAAATGTTAACGTTTGGTTTATTGACTGAATCTTATACACTGGGTGTACCAACCTCATCTTCGGGCCACATACGGTCAATCTCGTCCCTCAGTTTATCTTGCACGTCCGTGTGAAGAGCGAGTTCATAGCAAAGGAAAGCAAGAGTAGTACTGGATGTGTCATATCCAGCAAGAAGGAAAGTGAGACATTGTGCCTTAATATCGTCATAGTCAATTTTCTCTCCTCCTGTTTCTTCCTTGGCATCCAGCATCAGTTGCAGTAAGTCTTTTCGCTAAAAGCAAAAGAATGGATATCAGTGTGGAAGGCCGGAAGAAATTAAAATGATTTTATCTTGCAATTGTTATCCTTTTTAGTATTTCCCCACCAATACTAACGAAAAGGGTTTCTTGGTCGTCAGTATTCATAAACGCTTACATCCAAATTACCACGAGATGTTCGGATAAAAAAATAAGTGGCAAAAAAGGAGCACTTCCGCAACTTGGTGGCTGACATAACTTCACCATTGATAGACAAGAGCTGCACGATAACTGAAAACCAGAGAAATCGTTTTGTTTGCGTTTATGTCGAGCATTTACGCTTAATGCATTCTAGGAGCTAAATTCACCACTTAATTATTTTACTTTAAGCGTCCTTTGTCATAATGATGCCTACTCACAGGTGCGTTAGTACTGTCCTTTCCGGCAGTCCTTTCAGCGATGATATCGGCCGATATGGCAAGGATTTTTTCGAAATCAAACGGATCCTGGAGGCTATTCATTATGTGTTCTCCAAATGGTAACAGGACTGCAAATTTGTGATTAAAGTAAAGAATTCGTTAACGGATGAAAAATCTTATTGCTATCTTATTGTTATCTTATTGTTGTGATATGGTGTGATCACTTGTGAGACCAGTTGACAGCCAAATTTGTTTTTAAAACAATATAAATTTGCTTCAAAGCCGAAGAGTTGAACTTCCACAAGTTTATGATTTATTGTTTTTCTTTAGCCGATATTGGTAAGTAGAAGCGTCTTGATGTTTTCTAACCGAAATAATAGGCCTACTCTGGGACCTAAGTTGCTTAAAGTCACCTTAAGTCGCTTTAAGTCAGTATTGGTTACGCAATGTTATAAGGGTTCCACCCTAATCCCAATTGACCCCATTCACTCCACTTTAATCATAAGGATCAGAGGAAGAGGCACGGTGGCTGAATGGTTAGTGCACTGGACTCGACACTAGTCCAGTTTTGGTGTCTACTGTTGGAGCATTGCATTTTGTTCTTGGGCAAGATACTGTAAGCTCAAAGTGCCGCACCTTTTCCAGGTGTAAATATGGGTACTGGTTGGCAGGGACGAGGTTTAGTCGCCTAAAGTCGCCTTAAGTCGCCTTAGGTCACTATTGGTTATGCAATGTTATAAGGGTTCCACCCTAATCCCAATTGACCCCATTCATCCCACTTTAATCATAAGGATAAGAGGAAGAGGCATGGTGGCTGAATGGTTAGTGCACTGGACTCGACATTAGTCCAGTTTTGGTGTCTCTGTTGGAGCATTGCATTTTGTTCTTGGGCAAGATACTGTAAGCTCAAAGTGCCTCACCTTTTCCAGGTGTAAATATGGGTACTGGTTGGCAGGGGGGAGGTAACCCTGCAATAGACTATAAGTTTAATTATTGTTAATGTGAGGTAGACAACGGCTTCCATATACATAGAAACTCCATGTGAAAATAGTCATGCACCTGTCTAGCCCCTATGCTGGCATGGGTAATTCCTACATGTAGACAATATTGATGTAGGAATATGACAAAGGTGAGGCACTTTGAGCTTCCATTTTCTTACTAAAACAGCTATCTGTTTCCACAAAATTTCTGTCATTTCATGATGAAAAAGTTGATAAAAGGGTTGAAACTGTGTATTAACATGAGGATATAATAAATATGGAATCACATAAAACCTACAGTACCAGATCATCAAGATAAAATGATAGAAAGGTATTCTGGAGAAAGGCTCAATTCTCGTCACTCACTTATACCTTGAACAGTATACGGCGACTTAAGGCCCCAGAGTAGGCCTAAATAAGAAAAAGCAAGAATGAAAAGATTCTTACACAGTAATCCAACCAAGGGGTGTGGAGCCATGGCCTTCTTTGCTAATTCAGTGATTGGATCATTTTCAACAGTTTGTGTTTCTGCTTTGACTCCAAATGCTGTTGACAAAATCACTTCCATGGTAAGACTCTGGAGCCACCTAAATGTAGTGAAAAAACGTTTGAGATAAATAACTTGAATTCTTTAGGTACCTATTTTATAAAGATAATTTGCTAATTAGGAGATTCTAAAGGGTATAGATCTCCAGGTATGACTCAAGTCTTGCAGCAGTAAGCAGTTTTCACGGATGTTGAATTGTTCCTGTTCAAACTGTGAACCCGAAAAGTTACTCAAGCAAAATTCAGGCAGCTGCTATATCCATGCACTAGCCTTTGCAATTTAGTTTGGACCCATTTGACACATCACATGATACATTTGGAGATTCTTTAATTTTGGTATTTCCCCCTTCATTGGTCTATTAAATTGAGTATGCTGTAATGACCTATGAAAATCAACGATCTCTCCTGTTTTGGAAATTCTGTCCACTTTCTGCATTAAAATGCTGATCGCTTCATTCATAAAGGGCATCATCTGCAAGAAAGGTATACCAAAATAAAATAACTTTTTCGTCAAGATTACCACTGCTTTAAAAAACCAATCTCTAATTCATTCACAACGTGGAAAAAAAACAAACAAATAATCCGCTCCTTATTGCCTATGATTACAAGACAACTTGGAAATTAAAAAATATTGCCTAACTTGCCTGCTTCATCTTAGCTGCACTGAAAGTTGGCGTCAAAGTAGATCTGATATCCTTCCACTTCTGACCACTTACGATTGTTAACATTCTGTCATATGGCTTCTTAAGGTCCTTCATCAATTTCTGAAATTGTATGTTACAGAAGAATGTCATTTCCACCTTGAATTGAGTACGTGTTAGGCGTGTTAGCGTTGAGTTGAAGAAGAAATTCACGGTATATGAGTTACATTATGTAATTTTGTTAGATCAGCTAAGTTGAAATTGTAAATTGGCCACTGAAAAGAGCTTTCTGACTCTTTACGGTGGCCAATTTACAATTTCAACTTAGTTGATATAGCCAAATTACCTTGTTATCCCCACCGACGCAGCGCCACAGTTTCTTTAGAAACTTACCCCCTTTAGATTATGTAAGGGGCTAATGTTTTGCCACACTCTTTACAGTAATGATCATTTGCTTTAAATTACAGCTAATTGCCATTGTCCTCTTTTCCCTCGCTAGTCTAGCAAAGATAGCGGAAAGACGAAAACATTCAGAATACCTAATCAAGTGCATTCCCTCTGAAAAACATCCAAAACAACCTAACTTTTACCAACATGTTCATCCATAAATGAGGAAATTTCATCGTTACCTTTCGATCATGAAATTTCGGGAATTCTTTGACAAAGATCTCTTTTATCATATCTAGATCAGCAATCACCAGAAATGGCTGACGAAAGACATAAACTCTGCGAAAAGACAATAAGGTGTGAAGAACAATATTTATTGTTGAAACATTTAGCTGGCCAAACCCAAAGGTCGTTCAAGATTTTTCTTATTTATATTCTATTCCGAAAGAGGTAGAGTATTGGAAACAAAACAAAGCAAAGAAGAAAACCTACTTTGAAATTTCTCATAGGGACTTCGCTTAATGTGTGGGTGTATAGGGAAGCCTCACCGGCCGTTGTGGATCAGTAACTATTGTAGTTTCAGCGGCCAGCAACGAGGTTGCGCTTCTTTTAAAACGACAGCAAATACCACTTGGTGATGTTCTTTTTCTTCAACTAAAGTATTAACATACACACCCAAATATCTTTCCATATTTATCAGACCATTCCATTTGACACTTTGGGATGATGTTTGGCTGCAAAGAAAAAGGAAGTCATTACACCATTGCTGGAGAATTTGAGGTCATAATTCAGCCCCTCATGGTCTTGCAATGGCTTCAATATACATGCAGGGTAATTCAACTATCAGTAGTTGAAAGTTTTCAATATTTTGTTTGGAGTGAAGCCCCAATAGGCAAGCAGGGTTCTAGGTCATCAATAAACGTTTCTATCGATCGCTAAAGATACGCCTGCCACTAGCAATTGCTCTAGAGGTTACTCCCACTCGTTTCACACTCCCTTCCTGATCAAGAAAGTGTAAGTTTCCGCTCCGTCGCTAGATTTCCAGTTCCTTCAGCTGGAGTACATGCTTGAAGTTTGCAATCAGGGAAGCTACTTTGTGCCTTCAACTCGACTATTTTTTATTTTATTGATAATAAATTAAATCTTGTCAAAGTAAAGTTGAGTTTGCCTAAGCTGGCAGGTATATACCATAAGCCAATGCAGGGCTTGAATAAGAAGGCCTTAAAAACTTAATTTATGATTTAATCCACTGAACGAGCACCTTTCCAATTCCACTCCATTCTCCACTTTCTTAATTTCTCATTCCATCCATCATATGGCTTAATTTAGCCCCAGTTCTTCAAAGGGTGCATGAATAACGTCATCCGCTGAATAAAATCTCAATCAAGTGGTTAGCACAGTATGTTTTGCTGACACTTATCCATTAGATAGTGTTAGCCCATTGAACAAAAATTAAGCCAACCAACTTACATTAAGGCGGTTCTGTATGGAGTTACCAAAAAATGGAAGAGGTGTTGGTCCACTGATTCCAAGTTTCTTGAACACAGTGAACGGTGCAACACAGAACCTTGAAAAAGTGAGTTAATGTCAACTCAGATACCCAAATCATAGCCATTAAGGTCTGGCCATCAAAAATGACTTCTCATTTAACCCTGAATTCCTACGAGTGATAAATGGTTTGTTTTTCCCCAAATGGTGAAAAACTTTTGAACTCAGAATATTGAAATGTGGATATCACCTTGTAACCCAATGTTGGAAGGATGTTTAAAACCTTGAAGACTTGCAACATTTAGTATCATTTGGGAATTAACTCGAAAGTTATTTTTCCACTGTTGCGTGACTTTTAGTTGTCTTACCATACGTTTATTCTTTTGAGTGTACTGACAATAATGTTATCATTCAACTATCGGTGATATCGTGGAAGCTCAGATACCACCTATGTATCATGCAATGCTCTATTCGCCGCTTGATGGGAGCAAAGAAAAATACTTCGAAAACTTAAATATGAAATCAAATCTTAAAGATAACGAGGTTCCCCGTGTTCCGTTTCTGGTGTCGATCAAGAAACATCCTAAACTGACTGTGTCTCAACACCCTTTATTGGTTTCCTTTACGTCTTATAACTGCTTACCGGTAAAACAGAACGATAAGGAGTCCAACCAATAATGTAATGCAGTGATTGCAAGCATACTGTACTGTTTCTTGGAGAAGGTTTGTCATGTCTGCTCGGAACTGAATAGATCTAATTTGGTTGTTTAGTCCACGAATCTTGTTCTTCCTGTAGAAAAAGCGACGGCAGTTCCGATATCAATTTTTACCAAATATATTTCGAGGAAGGCAACGTCACTCAGATGATTCTGGTATCAAGGAACTCGCTTTAAGCTGCTACTGACCTGAGCAAAAACAAAATGGATGTAGTTTGCATGCGATGAGTTCATATGCAAATTCCACAATTGGTGCTAATGGTGATGTAACACAAGGTGACAATGTCACGATCTTTTGCGACGAACTGACGTACTTGACACGCTTAACTGACTTGTTAAAAATGTTTAATGTTTAATCACAGTTCGTAACCATACATAACTGATACAAATGAACTAAATACTAAAATAAAATATTAATAAAATAAAATAAAAAAAGTAATACTTATATAAACAAACAAAAATGCAAAAATGGTTAACGGGATGGTAGTAGGGGGAACCAAATTCCCATGCTAAGACATACCCTCCAAAAATAATAATGCATAAACTTATATCAAAAACACTATGCCTAGTATTAACAGGAAAATTATGAGCGTAGGTACGTAATCATTGAAACTTTAAAAATATTCTAGTTATTGTTTTCTTTCCCGCCGTTTGTGGTATTCGTATGATGTAAGAACAGATTTATTTATATATCATATCAGAATGTTGTCATATCAGAATGCTACCGCACTCTGTTAGCTTCGACAGCTTTATTGCTTAGTGTTATCACTGAATTATCGATGACATCAATCAAACTCTTTCTAACATGGTCTAAGACTTTCCACTTGGGATATAACACAAGCTAATTATCTCTCAAATAAAAAATGACTGATAGTTAAAGCTAACAGACTCAATTGCAGAGGAGGATTATAAGAGATTTCTTTAATGTAAGAGTTAATCGATGAAGGTAAGCGATTGCAACTAGAGTACACCTCGTATAACGGTATACACTCTACGTGATCACCTGTAGTCAACTGAATAGACCTTCAAGCTGTGGGTATTTTTAATAAGGTTTTTATCGGAAGGGATCAGCCTTAACAAAATTTTTTTATCGAATAGCTATTTTAGTATTTAATAAAACGTAAAGTAGAGTTCACATAGATTTATTTGGGATCTGAGTACATTCTGTTTGTAGAATTGTTTTCCGTGGGGCTATACAATAGATTCAATCCACCTGTGCTTGCGTATTTGTAATTAATGTCATCTATGAAGTTCACTAACTAGTAGCTTCTCCTGATACTTTAGAGTGGTTGTTAAATAAGTAGATGAGTCTTCTCTAAAAGCCAGACAAGGTTTTCACCGTTTTACAAATCAGAAGACAATTATATAATCGTGTTTAATCCCTCGGTGAAACCTTCAGCATGATTGTATCCGGGGCGCAGATCAGAGTAAACATGACTTCAAAATTTATTGGAACCTGCAAAATCAAAGTCATAAAAAAATGTCCTCAACACAAAGATGTACAACTCATAAGAGATAGAAGAGCTGAACCGATTTATATTCCCGCGTATATTTTTCCTAAAATATATTTAACTCTGTTCAGCTACGATAACAGTTGATGCCCAGTTCACAGTAGATACCAACCACTGAGGTAATCAATATTTCGCAGCTCGTATTTCGTCGGTCACGTTCAGATTACCCTGTTTGCAAAACATATGATTCCTACTTTTAGCTGAGCATAGGTGTGTTGCACTTGGACAAAACGCTCAAGCAGGTGGAGTCAGCGGTTTTTTTCGAGCATGTAAAGACGTGGATACAAATTCAATCCAAACAAAACTCGGTGATGAAATGATGGAAGGGAATGTACTGGTGAAAAACTGATCATACCGATGAAACTCGGTAAAACTCGATCAAATGTACCAGAAACGACCTTTACATGAAGAAAACTGAAAAAAACAAAAGAATTTTTACTCACAGCTGTTTTCTCGGTGCGCTCTAGCCTGTACCTCTTCAGTAATCTAACAAGGGTCAGTTTTATTTCCAGCAAAGCAAATCGCATTCCAACGCAGTTGTGAGGACCAAACCCAAACGGTAGAAATGCATAGGGGTGACGCTTTGCTTTCTCCGCTTCTGTGAACCTGTCAAGAGTAAAGCAGTATCATGAGATACGTGAGAGATGTTGTGACCTTATGATTAGCAAGGTGGACTTCGGTTTGAGGGCAGGTTCAGGCTCGTGCAAAAGAAGGGTAAGCGGTAGGGTACTTGTTTGGTACCTGTAGGCGAAACTGACCTAACATGTCAGTTTCGCCCACAAGTCATATCACCTAAGGATAGGCTCGCCCAATAGTCACTCGTTAACAGGTCAGTTACGTTAACAAGTCATCTCGCCTACGGGTCAGTTCAGGTACGAGTTATTTAACGAGAGGCTCACCTTTCTGGGTTGAACGTTTCAGGTTCCGGCCATATATCAGGATCATGGTGGATTGCATAACATGGAATCATAACAGGCAATCCTTTAGGAATAACTAATCCTTTCGTAGTGCAAGCCTCGTTGCAGTCTCTGTGAAGTCTAAGGCAATGTGAAGTAAAATGAGAAAGTTATTCTAAACAAAGCCTTCTCATGAATATGTTGTGACAGGGACGAGGCTAAATGTTAATTATTTACAAATGTGAGTTGTTGTGAGGTTCTAAGGGCTAGCCAATATTTATTGTCCCAACGCCAGATGTTCAAATCAGTTGGTGGCGAGTGCTATGTGGACGCATCACGAAAACTTCGAATCCTCGAAGAAAGAAGAAACGCTCGTGAAAGCTAAGTGATACAGGTAGGTTATTACAAGATGGCTTTCTTATTATTATCTCGCGCGCCTTTTGAGTCAGAGATTTGTGATTAACCTTCCTCTCACCATTTCCCCATTCATTTTCTATACATGACCCTCTGGACTCGCTCACACTGTTGGCTAATTTTGACCACGTGCACGTGACAATCCTGGAGTATACTAGGCCCGAAATCATACCCTGTTGCAAGACGATGTTCAGATTCATCTGCATCTCCTACCATCCATTTTAATTACTTACGCGAATCCTGGAGGATGCATTCTAATTGTCTCGTTAATAACCATCTCAAGGTATTGCATTTTGTGGAGGTTGTCATACGATGGTGACTCCTGCATTTAGAAATCCAAAACTGATTGAATATTCTCGGATAGCGAGCTAGCTATCAAAATGGGTTACTGATTAAAATATCGTAAAACATTATGATTACGGTGTTCTGTCGGTCTAAATTCATTATGGCATATGGCGCAAGTCCTCTTTGCGTATTTCGTGGTTGTGTTCCATTTAAGGGAAAAAAATACGTTTTCTATTTTAAAAAGGAAACACTTAGTTGCAAGAGAACGGCCTCGCGAAGGAAAGTTTTTGTCAAACATTTAGGTCTGGTAGGTTTGAAACAATGAATGTCGTCATTCCGAGACAGTGAGTTACATATTTTTTGTGCAGATTCATTTTTTTGCTACTGCCCCATATAGGGGAAAGGAAAAAGAGTTGCTGTATAGATCTGTGATATTGAAGCTCCAGTAAGGTTTACCAACCTCGTCTCCAGGCCACACAAAGTCGATTTCGTCTCTCAGCTTGTCTTGCACATTTGGGTGAAGGGCGAGTTCATAGCAAACAAACCCAAGAGTAGTGCTGGAAGTGTCGGAACCAGCGAGAAGGAAAGTGAGACACTGTGCTTCTATATCAACATAATCAATTTTTCCTCCTCCAGTTTCACCTTTTGCATCCAGCATCAATTGGAGAAGGTCTTTTCGCTAAAAAGTATCAGATGAACTTTTCATCAGACTGAAAATCGATGCAATACTTTTTAGAGGTAATATTTCTCACTTGTTTTTTCCCGAATACAAACATACAAAAATACACGGATCAATCGAAATGCGATGCATATTTTCATATTACTTTCACGGTTTCTCGATAGAACAGAAATAAGAATAGAGTTCTCTTAAAGCTAGTACTCGCACTTGTTCTGGTCCTTTTAGCGTGACTATTCTGGGTTTTCCGCCATAAAAAGTAAATCAGAGGGTTCCAGGAAAAGATTTGTAGACATTTCTCTTCAAAATCTTGCCAGTCTGATTCCACGATACAGACAAACAGATAATTAATGAATACCCGAGAACACGTCAGCACATTTCGTTCAGAGATATACCTTTGTTGGGCATTCATGTAAAAGCTGGTCTGCGAGTTGTGGTAGTTATCAACGCTTTTTTGACTGGCTCGGTAAGAATTTTATGCCACCTTTTCAAAGAGATGACACGATCTGACTCCTTTACTTACAGATGCGCTTTTCTCGCTCTTTGCACCTGTCCTTTGAGCGATGATATCGGCTGATAAAGACAAAATCTTCTCACAATCAAAAGGATCCGGTAGGTTATTTATTATGTATTCTCCAAATGGCAAGAGGACTGCAAAGATGAGAAAGAAGTGAAAGTGTATTGAAGTGAACGGAATAACCACGTGCACATAAATGAGTCTCTTGTTGACTTTTGTTTCTTGGTAAGCAACCTTGTAATCCCCAACGAGCAATTTTCTTCCATCAGTGTAATAATATGTTTCCTTAAATGAACATTAATATATTCATAACTGAAATAACAAGTGGCAAACTGAAGTAAAAAAAATCCTCACACACTAATCCGAGCAAAGGGTGTGGAGCCATGGCTTTCTTTGCTAGCTCGGTGACTGGATCATTTTCAACAGTTTGTGTCTCGACTTTGAGTCCGAATGCTGTCGAAAATATTATTTCCATGGTGAGGCTTTGAAACCACCTTAAAAAGTAGAACAAAAATGTAGATTTCAAATTTTTTACAGATACCTATTTTGTAACTAAAGAGAGGATGATTAACATATTTGAAGACACTGGGAGCAAGTTGTGCTGACTCGACAAAAATCCCTATGTTGACCGGCAATTTTTTAATTGATGCCACCCTAATCAGGCACAGGCAGCCCAAGCTCACTACTAGAAAGCGGACGTGACTCTTACCGTGTTGCGTAACGTTTTATATTTATAAAGGTTTGTATGGGATGTTATCGGTTTGCCTTAAAAGAGAGAAAAAAATGTCTTGTTTGGAAATAAAATGGGCTTGCCTTATTGCCTTGTTATTTTCT